GTTTTACTATGATCTAAATATTACTTTAGCTAGTATCATAATGTTGATTTTGTTATAATAATATTATTAGTTTGTTATGATAGTTTTACTAATTTTACTATGATAATTTTGCTATGATTATCATGTTTACAAAATCTTCTAAAAATATCTATAAATAATATTCTCTAAAGCTAATGTTCAATAAGATATAAAGAATTATTCATCTAATTATATTGTGATATAAAGCAATCAATAATATAAATTTAACTAATATTCTATTAAAAGTTCATATCATAATAATATAATAATTATAAAAAAGATTAATTATTATTTAAATTATTTAAAATTTTTAAAGAAAAATAATTTAAAAATAAAATCTTAATTTTTTTAATAATATAAACTTATTTTTTATTAAATTATATTTTATAATATAATTAATATTATTTAATTAGTATATTATATTATTTAAATATATTTTATTTACTTATTTATACTTATTTAGAATTTAGAAAAAATTTATAAAAAAATATTTTAAAAAATAATATATATTATTTTATTATTATAATTTATTATATAATTCTTTTAAATTAATTTATTATTTTTAAACTTATAAAAATTAATTCAGATATATTATTATAAGAATTTTTATATATAAAAATTATTGTAATTATATATAAAATTTTTAATATTTATTACATTATTATATAAAATATATTAATATCTTTTTATACTAATAAAATATATATTTTTTTATAATAAAAACTTTAAAATCAAATTATTTTTAATAAGTTTTATAAATAATAGATTATTTTTTATTATATTATAGATCTAAATTTTAAATTTTATATTTCTTATTAACTTTATATTATAAATTCAGATTTATTAAGAGATAGAGATTATATAATGATAATTAAAAGTAATAATTCAAGAATTAAATTTATTAATAAAATATAGTGAAAATTAAAATTTTTTTCTATATTAAAATTTTATAATTTTATTAAGAAATAATTTTTATTTTTATCTCAAAATAAAGTTTATCAGTTATAGTTTAACATATATTTTTTGAAAGAGTTATTCTAATTGTAAAGTCAGTGCAAAAATTTTTACTAATTAAATATGAAATTTAATTAATAAAAAATTTTGCACTGACTTTACAATTAGAGCAACTCTTTCAGAACAAATTTAAAAATCTGAAAAAAATATATGTTAAACTACAATTAATAAACTTTATTTTGATATAAAAATAAAAATTATTTCTTAATAAACTTATAAATTTTAATATAGAAAATTTCAATTTTCACTAATAAATTTAGCCCCCGAGTCATTACTTTTGGTCTTCACTATATTATTCTAAAGTTATTATTCAAAAAAATATAATTAAAATCATATAATTAGAAAATTATTTTATATTATGATTTTTTAACTAATTTATAATAGTAAAGTTAATATTTAAATTAGTTCAAGCAAATATTTTGAACTCAATTCAAAATTATTTTGTTTAAATATTAAAAAATCTGTTTAAATTATATAAAATATCAAAATATATTATTAATATTCAGTGATTTTTTTATCTAAAGATCGGATTATGCTGAAAATTCTGGCCCGAATTTTGTGGATTTGTAAAATCAATCTGACCAAACATAATCATAATTTCTAAAATAGTGACGAATTCATAAAATATATAGTGCAAAATTTATCATATATCAAGAACCGGTTAGACTCCCAGCACCATTAAAATTTCTGTGGAATGCATTTTGAACATACGATATACGTTGGAAATCCCATTTCTCATTTGAAAATTAATATTTATTCTCATTAATATAGAGAACACAAATTTCCAACTGTTTCCCAAAAAACGCGGTTTGTGATGTTAAATAATTAACTCGTACAAAAATTTTAGTTTGGAAACATGATGTAATAATATACAATGTAGCATCATCCTCAGGATCATAAATAATAAAATTTAGCCTTACTCTCGTACTTGACATATGGTGTGAAATGCATATTAACTTTTTTTCTCGAACCATGATCTAGTCGTTCATAGGGTTTCTGTAGAATCAACTGTTCGCATCTTGTCGAATTCAAAAATTGGGAATCTCCGTCTATTAGTGCTGTACAGCCTTTAATAAAATCGCCCATATATATCATATACGCTAGTTCCATTTCATAAATTTCGATGATAGTTCTTTCAAATTGAAATTGTAGCAAGCTGTTCGGATTTATTCTGTTAATGTTTCACTACGATGTTGAACATTACTTGTCTATCGTGGTTTCTCGCAAGATTTTGGTCTTTAATTCTCATCGTGAATATAGAGAAGTTACATTAGGAATAGTTACAGATCTCTAATTGCAACCAATAGATTGTTGAATTTTTTTATGCTAAACAGCCGTGAGCAACCCATATTTAATAATGAATAAATACTTAACCCATTTCCTCTCTCCTTTTTACCTTTTTTCCTTGAATCGTCACCAATGCATCATTAACACACCAATACCGATTCTCAAGTTTGATGATTGATTGTTAAAGAAACAGGAAATAAAACTCGAATTGTTTTATGTTATTCATGTATATAAATATACTCTTAGACATCGGTCTGCATCTCATCTTCATCATCTGAAGAATCTTCTCGGAATCGCGGGTTCTATGTAAAATAATAATAAAGTAGTCATAATTAATGAAAAACAAATGTTTTCGGTTTTCTCTTTAATAATACCTTTTCGCGCCCTTGAGTTTCTTTTTCTTCGTCGTCAGGTCTCTCACGTTTATGTTGTTGTTGTTGCTGTGATGAGGCTACTGCAAAAAAAAATTGATTAACCAACCAAGTAAAATATTAAAGAAAGGCAAAAGGGTAAAGAGAAGGAAAGATAGTCTAATTACCATTTTTTCCTTTATATTCTCCAGCACCAGTCGGGATAGTAGTAATAGCCTCATACTCTTCTTTCTGTCGGTGTGCACGTTGTGCTTCTAATTGCTTGGCGCGAACATGACCCCAGCCACCACGACCTTGGTCATAGTCTTGACGATATTCGTCTCTAACCTATAAAGCATCGAGGGATGATATTAAAACCGCAATAACTAGAGAGAGCATAGCTTTTATTTGAATTAGTTACCTGACCACCAGATCTTCCTCGACCATATTGTCGACCATCTCTATAACCAGGATCTAAATCCGTTCTTATTATACGCTCATCTAATTTTGTGGTGTTCACGTATTTCATGCAATCTAAAGCATCTTGATGATGATAATATCTGTTTATAATAATAACATGAACATGAATTAGTAACAAAATCTTTTGATTTTCAAATGAAATTGAAAATCCCCTCATAATCAATAAAAGAAAGATCATCACACCAACGATCAATAAGATGATTAATGAAAATATTATATTACTAAGTTACTTTATCTAGATCCTGCGTTCAATTCTTCAAAGAACCAACTTACTCTACAAAGCAAAACCCGCACGGTGTTTTCTGAAACTTATCCAGCCCCATAATAATACGTTTGATTTCTCCACATTTCGAGAAAAGTTCGTAGATTTGTTCTTCTGTTGTATAGAAGGAAAGATTGCCCACGTATAGTGTCGTACTATTTGCTAGATCTTTTTCTAGGTCTGTTGTCGAGCCCTATTATTAGAAAGTGTGTTCGTTTATTTACAATGAAGGGGTATTTTGTTTTTTGTTGTATCTGTTAGAGTAGAGAACGCTAAACACATACCCTATACTGTTGATCTTTATACGAGGAAGGCACACAGAGAGATTGAACAATGTCTGCCATCTTTTTCTGGATATTGAAATACACTTTTCGAAATTACAGAAGAGTCTAAAGTTCACGTGTCAATAATTCATTGTCGACGCGGATTGGATAATCGTAGATGGCGGAAAAATTCTTATAATGCTTAAAATTTTTCTATATCGAAATGGAAAAACTTCGTTCAACCAGATATTATTCCAGAACACCAGCACAAATCCGCCATTTTATTCCGCAATGCAGCAAAAGTTCCGACTTATTCCATTATAATAATGTAGTTGTTCCGGGACCCTAGACGGATTTTGATTCCACAACCGATTTAACTCCTGCCAAAATTGGATACGGGAGAGGACATTTCTCATCTAGCCGACTAATTCACATGTTAAAGGAACGCCATTCACAAACACAGTAAAGTAAATGATTTAGACGTTTCGCATCATCTATATGAAATACATCGGGTATGGGCGCACTGTCTCAAAATCTACATGTATTATTGCCACATCATAATGATTGCCGATGCTGATGATGCTGAAGATGTTGATGATGATGCTGCAAAACAATCAAAAAGACCTTTCCCCTCGTTTTTAAAGTTTTATGCATAGATAGATTAAGCTATAAGCAAGTCAATCTTTGCTAAAATCATACATAGTATCGGAATGATGGATGAACGGATAGAAATTACGTTAATTTTATTGAACCGCCAAAAAAAAAATATTCCATTATAATTATATTCCATTATCCAAATATATATACACGTAGATAAAAGAGATACCCAAATGAAACTGGGATGATGTCATAAGGACTATAACATTAACAAAAAATTAACACAGACAAATCGATTAATCGATCGTGCTCCCTCGTGAGTCTTGTTTGACTTGTTTGATACCAATGTTTTGATTTATTAAAAATCACAACAATAAGCAACAATGAAATAATGAATGGGACACGGCGTCACCTATCAATATAGAAAAACGACTGAAACAAGAAAGATTTACCATTTCATCAATAACATTCATTTGACATTACGCCAACCTGAACCACTCGAACTAAATATGGGTAGTACGAACAACAAATTTTTTTTTTAGTTTCTTGTTTTTTATCTTATCGTACTATTCTTCTAATTCTTATATATATCAAATTTCCCAGGAAACTTTACCCTCTTTTTTTCGTTCCGTTTCTTTTTTTTTATCCTTTCTCTTTTTTTGTTATGCTATATTCTAATTCTTGCACAATAAACGAATTCTAAAAAAGAAATACATTCTATAAATAAAAATGACCTCAAAGATAGGTGACATACTCAACTCAATCACATACTGGGTGATAAGACTTTTTGCAAAATTAATATTTCACGTATTCTATCGAGACCATGGTGCACTATGTGCGGAACGTTTTCCAAAAGACGACGGTACACCTTTACTGCTAGTAGCTGCCCCACACGGAAATTTTTTAATGGACGCAATAACCATTTTTGTCACTTGTCCCAGGAACCATTACTTTCTGAGTGCAAAGTCAAATTTCAATTATCCGATATTTGGTTCATTAATCACGCTGTTAGGTGCTATCCCGGTCACTAGGCCACAAGATGTGGAAAGAGTTAACGGTGACGGGTTGGTTAAAGTACTCGAGGAAGGGAAAATTGTCGAAGGTGAGAATTTGGGAAAGACTGTGCAAGTTGGTGATTCCTTATATGTGGAATTTGAAGGTCCTGATGATAAAGATGATATGTTGAAGGAGGCTTGTGGTACCGTGGAAGAGATTCTTAACGAGCATAGGGTTCGTATTAAGGAGCCGGGGATGAAATGGTTGACAAAAGGAAGACGGAAGAATAAATTGAGACGTTTAGTGGCGTCTGGAAGTTTGGTCATACGTGTTGAACGAGGAAATACATTAAGAACACTTGAAGGTTTAAATTTAATTCCAAAAGCAATCAGTAAAGGAATTGATCGATTATCCACATCTCCTGGTAGAATAGCATTTCCAATTCAAGATTCTTCCGATTCTATCGGTATACAATCTCCACCTAAATGGGCACACGCCAATGAGAGAACTCCCTTATTGATAGGAGGTGGTGCCGGTGGTAGCAGCAGCAGCAGTAGTCAAAGATCACAACATGCACGTCAACTCTCCAATAGTAGCATCGCTAGTAATAGACAACCACCAACACCAAATTTTCCATCCGTTCCAAGTATCCCGACAACATTCTCCTACACTCATATGCCTCCTCATTCCGAAGTATATTCTGCAGTCTATAACATATTCAAGAGATCACGTTGTGTTGCCATTTTTCCCGAGGGTGCATCGCATGACAATGATCACATGCTGTCATTGAAATATGGTTGTGCTGTGATGGCATTGGGTTATTTAGCTTCGAAGGAACCGGATTCTTTTGGAAATAAGAGAACTTTGAAAATTGTTCCGTGTGGCGTGAATTTCTTTAATCGTCATCGATTCAGAAGTCGTGTTTTTGTTGACGTGGGAAATACGATTGAGGTAGAAGAGAGATTGGTGGAGATGTACAGGCAAGGTGGCAGTGCCAAAAGAAAAGGTTATTTTTTTTTTATTTTTATTTCTTAATTCATAATATTAAATAAAACCGATCATTAATTGGATTTTTTGTTGAAATAAAATTATGAATAGCTTGTCAAGAATTACTGAAGACAATTCACTCTGCCTTGTTGGAATTAACTGTGAATGCACCGGATTATGATACATTATTATTTTTCAAAACAGCTTCGAGAATGTATCGAGATAAATTACCCAATGTTTTAGATTTCGCTGAAAAATTAGCACTCTTACGTAGAATAGCTAAAGTAAGTTCTTAAATTATAATTATCGCTTCTAGTCAAAAAAAAAATAATAAATATTAATGAATGAATAATAAATTTACAGAAATATTTATCAACTACACCGCCTACCGATGAGGCTCGACGATTAAAACGAGACATCGTGCAATATGCACAAACCCTTCGTTCGAAACGGCTTTCACCGCCACACATGCACACTTCACCCCTCTCTCTGTTCTTTTACCTACCATTATTCTTATTCCTCTTTTTGTTAATGACTCCTGGCTTCATATTATTCGCGCCGATTGGATTTGTTGCATATTACGTTGGCAAAAAACAAGGCGAAAATGCCATGTTATACGACGATAATTCACTAGCAATCACACGATGGCCAGGTCGAGATGTAATAGCCACATGGAAAATGTTAGTCGGTACCGCGCTTTTTATCACCTTCGACATCACATATACCGCTCTCCTTGTTCCCTACATCCACAAATTTGGAATAGTTGATTTACACGGGTCACGAGAATATGCACTTGCTGTTGTGCTTTGCCTCTTGGTGGTGTGGCCATTGATTGCCTATGGAACAATTTTGACTTGGGAGCGAATGTGTTGGGTCGGTAAGCATGTCTGGGTCGGGCTTTGGGGCGCTGCTAGGCCGAGACAACGACGTGATTTCTTGCTGTGGCGTGAGCAATTATCGCAGAGAGTTGTTAGATGGGTTGATGGTACCACCGTTGCACCTTGATTTCCTCCCTTTTTTTTTGAATTTGCTTTGAGAATTGATGGATTTTCCGTTTGTTATTACATTTTTTATGAGGAATTCAAAAACCAAATCTTTTTTTTTATTTGTATTCATTTTCACATCTTGATTTTCCCCTTTTTCTCTCATTTTATGCTCTCTTATTTACTGCTACAAATGTGATAATAGGATTCAATTTCATTTTTATTATATATTTATTTGCACATTAGAACTTTTACATCCTATTGTTTTATTTATTTGTTTGCTTGTTTATTTATTTGGCATATAAAATTCATAAATAGCATTTCACTGTCTATATACGTTTTTTTTTGTATGTACTTTTCTTTATATATCTATAAAAATCAGTCTTTCTAACGGTCATGCAATTTTTTATTTTGCATTTCTACATCATTACTGTTTCATTTCTTTACGTATATTTATTTTTATTGTTTGTATAAAAATATAAAGATTCTATAATGCATGCACCTATATATATTATTATTATTATAAGCATGCATACATGTATTTATGTTTATTTATGAAGTTAGAACTTTTTGCTGACTATATATATATATATACTCCCTTTTGTTTTTATTCCCATTTCTATCTTTGCTTTTTCATTATGCTGATTACCATCTTTTATTGTCTTTTCATCAATCTTGTTTCTCAATTTTCCTCACATTAACATACACATATTTTTGTTTTATACATACACATGGGGGCGGGCAACAAAAATAAATATAATTTTCAAATAAATTTTCTGATCTGCAATTTTAAATACTTTAAGAGAACAACTTATTTTCATGATTTTTGTATTAGGAACAAGCAAAAAATGATAATTGGTTTTGTATTTGTGAAAGAAACATGAAAAAATGAATGAAAAAAAAACTGAAGATCAAGAGTTATGTGACATAAATGAATTTAAGTATAGTGTTCCATTTATTTCAATTAATAAAATTTAAGTACAATACAGGTCGAACTTTAGGATCCAATTAATTTACTGTAGACCAAAGCTATTGCTCGAGTTATCTAACTTTTAGAAAAGATATTAAAAATTTTAGTCTTCACTGTATATCAAACAATATGAAAAAAAATTGCAAACTGCAACTTTCCAGTAACAAAAACATCAGAAGAATCCCTTATTTAAAAATAAAAAATTAAGATTACAAAAATGTTATCTTGCTTTGCGGTCATTTTGAGTGAGGTAGTGGTAATAATTAATACCAGCAGCCAAGGACATCTTTTAATTATTGTCCTTCTATAAGAGTAATTGTGCTAATTAAGCTTTTTATGATCAATATCGACAATCAATTAATCGATTGATTGACCGTATGTATTATTGTCCAATGACCATTTTTTCGTTATGAAATAAAGATTGAAAATATAAAAAGGATTAATGTATGTATGTATGTATGTATGTTTGTTTGTTTGGATGTGAATTTATTCAATTTACTGCTATTCAACTTTGTACAGGATTCTTCGTGTCTGAATCACCACTAATACTGCCACCACCTTTATTAATAATCTCCACATAATTAGACGGGAACAATCCCTGACTTCCATTACGTACACGACCTCGCCACCACTCCGATGGTTGTCCCCACGCATCAGTCTTACTAAGTATTGCGATAATCTCACCACGTTTGAAACTCAACTCGACGGGTGACTCTGCTTGGAAATCATAAAGCGCACGACAGAACTCCAGGTTTTGTGGCGATACCGCACCAGAGGTTGTTGATTGTTTAATCATCTGGCCTTGGGTTTCATCGGGAAATGATGACGCGGGAATTGGGGTATTGATCATATGTTTTGCTTCGTAACGACGTAAAAGAATTTGAATAATTTTGTGTATTGCGTATGGGATGCCGATTATCGCGAGTAAAAAAAAGAACAAAGGTCGACGAGATCGTCGAGAATCTTGGAATTGCTCAAAGTGAACTGAGGTTATTTCATTAGGGTTGACGGGCGGCGCTCGACCAGTTAACTTGTAAAATATTTTACGCAACCATCGAGCCAACGCAAACACACTCAATATCTGACCCAGGTAGTTACGTAGATTCCCAAACTGCTCAACCACACCAACCATCGCCATAAACGAGGAATGGGTGGCAAAGAACGTCGATTCTAACATTGATGCGAACCCGCCAAATGCATTCACCACCGACTCTATCATATGAAAACCGGCCGATGTGCTGGCTTCCATGCGTTGCGTTAATGGAATCTCTTCGGGATTTATTGGCCCGTTAGGACCACCCATCATTCCACCTGTTCCGTATCTGTTATAGCCATATGATCCATAGCCACTATAACCACCACCTCCGTAGCTACTATAACGACTATACGGTGAATATCCAGAGGAATATGTTCCATATCGATTGTAAGGACTGTAACCACTATGTGAGTTGTATGAATTCATCCCTCCATATGTGCTATACGGTGAATATCCTGAACTATAGGCACCACTACCATAGGCACCACTACCATATGCACCACTACCATAGGCACCACTGCCATATGCACCGTATCCTGATAATATCAATGCATAAAGAAAAATTTATTTAAAATATTTTTCAGAAGATAAATATTCTCGTCTTGATTTTCTACTCAAATTACCTCTGTTAATTGCTGGTACAGCTGTATTGCTGCTCATAGTTGACGGTCTGGCGGGAACAGCAGGTGCCGTTGTACCATCGAGCGAAACCGGTTCTGCAGTAAGTGGTGTACTGGTTAATCTTGAAGAGCCATTTGTATTTGTTGTTCGTTCCCACGGTTTTGGTGGTGAAGGCATTTTTTTTATCTTATCTGATGCAACTATAGTCAAAATTGATTATGCCGTATGAAAATTAATAATAATAAATACTATAGAGAAAAAACCGCTTAAACAAGACAAGCTCATAAAAGTCATAAAAGTGTAAAAAATGGAAGAAAATCACGCACACTATATGTTTGTTAATTAGCTGATCATCTATCATGAGACTTTATCCCTGTGTTTTTCTGTTCATGTGATTCTAAAAGATTTTACATAAAAGGCCTTGTATTCGTGAAGTCTGTTAAGACTGCTTCTAAATTAGAATAACATTTGAGCCATGTCCTTGGAATATGAAGACGTGCTGATAAATCAACCTGTCGTTATTGATGGTGTTAGTATTTTGCAAGAGTTTTCGTGGTTTTTTTTGTTTTACCAACTATATTTTATTAGCCTTTTCTGCATTAGAAGTATTCGCGTAAATTCTGAGTTCTATTTCTTTTGATGTACACGATTCACGTTAAAAAAAGTTTATCAAAGTTTATCCCCTTTGCAGGACGTTAGAATACAAAGATCTTATAAAATGTTTTTCATTTTGTATATGACATACATGAATAAGTTTATGGGGTGGATGTAAAAAAGAAAAAAAGGGGGCATCACGCTTATGCGATTTTGAAGAGAAAAAGCTCATATTAAACGATGAAGAAATTGATGCGGACGCATCATCGTTGAAAAATAATAAAAATGATATTGAACGATTTAAGTAGACGCATCGATTCATCTAATTTTAACATTAACGTTTAATAATGATGAAAATAGGGATCTGGTGTTATAAAAGCAGGCTTTGCTGGTGAAGATGTTCCACAATGTTATTTCCAATCCTAGTAAGTGATTTATTTCATTATTTCATTCCACCACCAATACAATAATATATTATTTATTTTTCAAATAAATAAAGCTGAATTTATTTCCTACTGATTTATTTATTCATTTCGTATTGATCAGCGTTGGTCGGCCTAAACATGTTCGCGTTATGGCTGGCGCTGTCGAGGGAGAATTATTCATTGGACGCAAAGCTCAAGACTTACGTGGCCTATTAAAAATCAAATACCCAATCGAACATGGTGTGGTGACCGATTGGGAGGATATGGAACGTATATGGAAACATATTTATGATGATGAATTGAAAACTGCGTCTGAAGAGGTATTGGTTTTTTTTTGAGTTATGAACTCGGTGAATTTTGTTCTGATATCGTGTATATCATGTAACACCCGAGGTTTAGAAACGTTTTAATAAATTATCATTATACGCATTTTCATGCAATTTAAAATCATAATCTTAATAGCATCCCGTCCTGCTTACCGAAGCTCCTCTCAATCCTCGAGCTAATCGAGAACAAGCGGCTCAAGTGTTTTTTGAAACATTTAATGTACCAGCATTGTTCACATCCGTACAAGCAGTCTTAAGTTTGCAAGTATTCTCCTCCGAAAAATATAAAAATTAGATTCGTAATTTATGCATATAACTAAGTTAAATACATTTGGTAGATATTCTTCTGGTCGAACTACTGGGATTGTCTTGGATTCCGGAGATGGTGTGACACATGCAGTTCCCGTATACGAAGGATTTGCGCTTAAGCATGCAATGCGCAGAATAGACATTGCTGGACGGTGATTGATCTAACCGGCGTTAATTAATCTGACTGATTTTTTTTTCTTGGGAATTTATTAATCATTATTTATACTTTTATTAAAGAGATGTAACAGAAAATCTGCAATTACTACTTCGCAAAGCCGGTTATCATTTCCACACAACAGCTGAGAAAGAGGTAGTACGGGTGATCAAAGAGAAAATGTGCTACATCGCGCAAGTTCCTTCCAAAGAGGAAAAAGACACTGCTGGAAAAACAGAAGAGTATCCTCTTCCTGACGGGCATGTTGTCAAAGTACGTTTTAAAGTATTGAATTGATATTTGCTGATTAAATTCTTTATCGCAATTAATAATTATAATAATATAATAGTTAGGATCTGAACGATTCCGAGCACCGGAAATCTTGTTCAATCCTGATCTGATTGGCCAAGAATATCCCGGCATCCATCAACTTGTGGTGGATTCAATTCATAGAGCAGATCTTGATTTACGAAAGTCATTGTACAATAACGTAGTATTATCGGGCGGGTCAACACTCTATAAAGGTAATTTCATTGATTAGTTTTTATTGAATCATTAATCGTTAAATTAATCCATTATGATTGATTATATTTTATTAAACAAAACAGATTTTGGAACACGATTGTTGTATGAGCTAAAAAAACTAGCAGTCAAAGATATAAAGATCAAGATATACGCACCCCCAGAAAGAAAGTATAGCACGTGGATTGGTGGCTCTATATTGGCTGCATTAAGTACTTTCAAAAAGGTTCGATATAACTCTATATATACTATCTCTTTATAGTATAGATTGAAATTGGTTAATGATTTTCTTATCTGAAAAATCTATTTAGATGTGGGTCTCTGCTGAAGAATATCAAGACGACCCAGACATTATACACAAGAAAAGTTTTTAAGTATTTAATTGGGTTTTGGCATGTCACACCAGTGTCTTCCCTCTCCCCATTTTATCTCATCATATATTAACGATGTGTAATTTTAGTATTACAGAAAAATCAAAAAAAAAAATTCAAGATCAATCAACTAATCAATCAGACACTCGGTATATTTGATAGTTGCTTGCATTTCTATTTATAAAGCTCTTCATTATCATCATTCTCTTTATTACAATCATGAAAAGCAGAAACCAATAATCGAACAAAGATATTGTATTTTATTATAATAAAATAATTTAAAATAATTATTTTTTTATTTTTATATCAATAGAAACGCGTTCTCAATTTACTACTTAGTTTTTTGAGGTGTTCAAATGAACCAGTCATCAATTCTTCATAATCTAATTCTACTATACACGTCATCAAGAGATTAATATCAAATAAATTAAGTTATAGGCATTTTCTATATTTATAAATATAAAAAAACGAGAGGGAAATAGTTGAAATAATTTTTTAGTCGTCTCATCCATAATCCTGTTCCACTCCCAAATTTTATATATCTTTTTATCTTTTTATCTTTATACATCGTCATCTTATTATGAAGGGCTAGTTAGAGGGATTGGAGGTGCCGCTATTAATATTCCTGTACTTATAACTGCTACTAGTGTATCATAACAAAAGAATCGAAAAGCACGCGATCGATGTGCTTTCAGTATCGCTTTTTCTTTTATCCGGTGAAATCGAAATAATTTGTGCTCACTATGTTGAGAATCAAAATTGATCAGTATCAATTACGATATATGATCAAATCAGACAAAAAAAAATTCACACTTTTCTCACCTCACGCCAAACAAAATTAACGGGGGCAAAAATCTCGTGATAGCAGTCTGTAACAGCACCCAACCCAACCAAAGAGGGAAAAAACCCCAAATCCTGATCATCCGACCTTCCCAAGCCATGAAAATATAATACAACTCCAATGCGATACCAAAGGTGAGACAAATCATTCCGAGTGGCAGCGCAATTATCGCACTAATTTGTGAGAGATTTATATCGGTGGCGGATTCGACAAACTTTGGGAAATAAATCACATTCATTATGTGATACACGTAAGCTTTTGAACTGGCAAACACCACAGGATTGTGTCGTCCTTGGCGCATTATTAAATCTTGCATTGTGGTTCGATGTTCCTGAGGGAAAATGTTTAAATTCGCGTATTTACGATAGATTTGTTTTGCTGATTTGTGTAAATCATCTTCGTTTATCTGTCTTCGATATCCTGGCTGTCCTACTGACGCGTCCTCATCTGATGTTACGTTTGATGATATATTATTTAAGGATAACGCTTGAACTTGGGAATCATTCGTTGGAGTTACCGTGATCTCTGTGCTAGAACGAGAATCTTTACGATTATGAGTTTGTTCATCTTCTTCCAATGAGTCGTCCTCATCTTCGTTATCATTGTCATTATCATTATCGTTATCGTTATCATCATCCTCATCATCATTATTATCATCGTCGTTATTATCATCGCTATCATCTTTCTCGTTGTTATTATACAATCGATAGTGAAGTTCTCTTTCCTTTTTCCTTCTTTCATTTTCCAGCCAAGTTCCCCATAAATTCTCATGATTTGCAACATCCAACCAAAAATTAAGATTATCTTCCGCTTGCCAATGTTCTCGTAAGTAACAATAGAAATTATATTGTGATAACGGAGCACCTGACACGCCCAATAGAACTTTATCCAGTGATGGAACTCGTGACTCGGGCGTGTTCTTGGAGTTCATCATTGAATCTCTTATCTCATCGTCTTCCATCACCTTTACCTCATATAAATTATTATTGTTATTACTACTTTTATTGCTGAGATTACCTGTATAGAAAAAAGTCGATTAATTCCCACGAAGCATACGTTGCATTTCACCACCATTCAAGAACACTCACCACTTGATGAATAATAATTGTTGTTGTTTGAGGAAGTTGAGGCTCCCAATGCTATTTTAGGGACAGGTATATTATTATTGGAATGCTGTGATAGTAATAATGACTCATTTTTGTCCGTTCCCCCCATTTGATCAATCAATGTCTTTTGATCTATTGCGTTGTTCTTTGTATGCGTTTGTCTATAAAGGATAACGGACTATTGGGTATTATATATGAGGTATAGTATTTTGTTTAATATAGAGATTTTATTTTTGTGGTCTTTTATTTAGGGATATTTATGTTGATATATATATATATATATGTATATATGTATATATGTATGTATGTTAATAAAGAATAACGAGGCTTGAATAGATTCCAATGCCGGAATGGAAGCAAGCGAAAGGAATAAAACGATGAGTAAATGTGAAGTGGAGTAAAAAAGGATAAACGAAATGTTCTGGTGAAGAGGGTTACCACGGATGTTTATGATGTGAAATGGCGGGAAGAGAGAGTGAGAGGTAAGAAGAGGAGGAGGGTAATCTTTTGAAAAGGGAAAAAATAAAAAGTTGACCACAAAAAGATAAAATCATCACATAACAAAATCTGGTAATGTCAGTTGTTGACTAATTTAATTAGATTAATTAGACTTCTTTCTTTTCTTGAATTTTTTATATTACCGCATTGTATACTAGTGTATATATGGTGTGCGACGACGAACATGTTTAACGACGCGTTTTGTATACATGACACGCATATATAGAAGTTGTACATGGATTTTTGTCTCTGGACATGAATTTCGAGTTAGCTATTTAATTGGCATAATATTAATAAGATGGCTCTCGGTCATACGTAAAAAAATTACGTCAAGATATGATTTATGCATATTTTTTTATTATTAATTTTCCCCCTTATGAAATTTGTATAGTTCAAAAAAAGGTGCACAATATCTTTTTTGATCCTTCAACAAGCATAATTTTTACATATTCGCTAGATAGAATTGACCACACGCATAATAATGATCACAAAATTATATTTTGTGCAAACATTATGAATTTTTTTTATCACACCGATCATCTTTGCACACGCATAAACAACCATGATTATGAAAGTTCAACTTTTTGAAGACAAAATTAATCATAAATTTCCTTTACAAGTTACGATCATTGCAATTAATTAATACAACATTTTGATCCAATTTATTTAGCCACGCCAAATTATATGTTTCTTGAAATAAAGGGAATTACAAATACACTGTTTTCGATATTATTGTTTTTTTTTTAAATAGAGGGAAACAAAATATTATATCAAAACCCCCTTTTCCCAACCAACTTAATGTTCATAGATAAAAAAGTGCAAATAAAAGATTCGAATGCTTAAAGTGGACAATCTCTTTGAGGAGGATGTTAATAAAAATAATAAATGTAGTAATTATAAAAAAACCAAATGTTCTCTTCCAAATTGATAATTACTAGTATTAATAATATTAATAATAATAATAATAATAATAATGATAATAATGATGATGATGATGATGATGATGATGATGATGAGGGAATTTGTGATCACGTTTTCTTCTATAATCCTTATAATATTTGTTGATTCTTGCCCTCTTCTTGCCGTCGCTGTTGTTCCCTTTTGAGACCATCAACAGCGGAAGGTGCTTCAATTCCCATTACGCCTAGGCCCAAACCAATACTACCGCCACCATTTCGATTACTACGACCTTCTACACTACCACTAGCCGCAGACCCTATGCTGGGACTAGGACTATGACCTCTCCCTACTCCACTGCTACTTCGATCATCGGTGGTTATTTCGCTCATAGCAAAAAGTAGTTCATCGTCATCAACCTTCCTACTTAATCGATGCAAACCTCCAGATCCGATTGACCCTCCTGAATCTCTTCGATTATTGTTCTCTATTAAAGCACCACGACCACTAATAGCCATTGTCGCATTAATATTCAAACTTCCAGTGCTACCACTTCCTTGAACACCACCAATACCCGCCATTTCATCACTACTGCCATCCCGTTTCAGTATTAATTCTGTGGATCCGGAACTTAAATCCTCTCGAATTAAGCGCTGTTGTTGTTGATGATGATAATGTCTGTGCAAAGATGAACTTGAGCCTGGTCTACGGAGCTCGCCGATATCTTCCGGATACGAAGAATATGCACCATCAGGTTGCATAAGTATTTCTGCCGGAATACGACTTCCACTTCCAACAGATGTTAAACTGCTACTCCTTCTAGTTCGGTAATTTGCATGAGATACAGATGACATGCCTCTCTGAGGTATTGTCATTGGTTTTGGTCCTTGAGGTTCAACTAAATCTCCATTTTTAACTTTTTCATGAACTCTGGATGTGGCATTCTGTTGATGCGCAACTGATGATGTCATTGAAGAAACAGAAGATGCAAGAAACCCTCCGAGAAGATCGCCGTTTATATTAGGAGGTCCAAGGTTTTGATGACTATTTGCTAGTGGTTCCGCAAGTATATTGAAATCCTTAAGCTGTTGGTATTTCGTCAACGCCAACTAACAATAATGATAATTTCAACAAGTTTAGAAAAAAAGTTTTAAATTAAAAAATACTTTTTATTTTTACCTTAGATTTATATACAGAGCCAGCATTTTTTTGATTAGGACTCCCAGAGTCATCTGATTTGGCGGGACTTCTTCCATATAGCTTTAATGGCTCCCGAGTATCTAGCATTCTTACAAATTCACCAACGTCATCGGTAAAAGCGAAAAATGACTTATATATTTAACGAAAATAAATTTGTTAACCAACTATTTAGTATATTTTGATTTCGATTAAATCAAACAAATTTTTTACTCACAGAATTATACGAGCCTCGATCACTTGCAGTATCATCGCTTCGATTTGTCAATAAACTGCCTTTGGAAGTCCGTCGTCCTCCAACATTCCAATCTTTTTCACGACCAACTGAATTATTACTAACGACGCCTGGTTTTTCGTTTCGATAACCGAAACTGGTTGAAAACTTTTTCGGGAAGTTACCTGGACTACCACTCGAAAAATTTGATTTAACTGATGATGATAAATTGTTTCCACTTCCGATAGGCAATGATCTTGCTGAGGTTGGAGAAGAAGCATAAGCATACCGTTGAAGTGAAATAGATGATGGTGATCGATGAATAGGTGATGAAGATGCACGATCGGAATATACAGATGATGGATAATTATCAGTGAGAAGATACGTAGGAGATGAGGATAATGAAGGAGATTTGAAAGGTGTAACTAGAGTGACGTTTGGACGGTTGCTCATCACAGGAGAGGAGGGAAGTGGCAAGGCATCTCGCTATTGGGAAATTCAAAATTTTAGACATATTACTGAATGAAACAAAGGGTCATAGTAACAATACTAATATATTTCTTACCATACTACGAGATGACATTTGACTCATCGATAACATATTTAGATTACGCTCATGATCAAACATTCTTACATTTAAGGATGGATTTGAGAGATTAGAGATATTGGATGCACCACCACCACTTGGATAACGTCTATGAACACTTGATATGGAAGAGGAGGAAGAGGAAGATGATCTTGGGAAAATAGCAACTTGATTTGATAAATCATTTTCGTTCTGTGATATGGAAGGTACACGCGAACGCATTGGAGGAGTTCCATATAATAACTGGTTGTTATTGTTATTATTGACAGTATGGGGCGACGTTGAGTTTGATCGAACATTTGGAGAAGTTCCCTGAGTAACAAATAAGGTTACCAATTAGAATTTATATTTGACTTTTAATGATTTAGAACTTCAATTTGATACTTACCATCTGTTGATGTTGTTGATAATTATTCGATGGAAATCCTTTTCTTCTCGCGTCTGACCCTTCCCTTTCCAGCTGTCTTTGTCGTTGTTCCTCTTCTTGGTAATATCGAGCCATTGTCGGTGTAAAATAATTTTCATCCATATCAATAAATCTCGAACTTAGAATTGCTTCAGAATCATCATCGATATGAAAATCACAATTTGATCGAAATGTGACACTCAAAGTAAATGTCCTACAATTAGGTATATTATTATATTGTTAACGTTAAGTACGGAAATAATTCATTTATTCTGTATTCCAATTTATACCCGATAGGTGTGTCAATAGGATCAAATGTATGCTTTGGAGCGGTGTTTGTAGTCTCCCCGTTTATTATTGGAACATCTTTCATAATGGATGGAAAGAACGTTCGTAATTAGAAAGAAACTTAGCGAGGGTTCTTAAATCATAAGAATGTCTCAAGAAAAAAGTTACCTAAGCCAATGTCAGGATTTATATTTCCTGTCGGCAATATAAACCGATGACCAATTTTTAATTTCATTCTTCTGAGTCTTTTGAACAGTCGATAAGCGGGTAGAAGACGAACAAAGGCATAGAGCGACCGGAAGAATGCAATCGATTTCTTGTATGCAATAGGAGGTTCAGGAGGAAACTCAAGCGTTGAATGGCTGCATATAAAAACGAATAAGATAAGGTGATGGACAAAATTGTTTGTTGATTCAAAAATAATCAGAAATACATTTCTTTTTATATATACAAACTTTTATCAGAATATAATTAATTCTACCTTAATGTCAATTGCCAACTTTCCAACATAATGTTCGTTGTTAATTTTGTTGCCTTGCTATTTTTATTTAATCTTGAGAGATTTTGTAGATCGACTTTATGCCGACGAAGATTCTCATCAGTCAAAATAAGAATTTGATTTGGAGCCAATTCTCGAGTATCGAGAAAGAACTCTATTACCATCGATTGTGGTGTCGCCGATGTGGTAACTGCTTGTTGCCAGAACTTTATATCCTCCTTATAAATACTTGAATCCTCCAATTCTAAGTTAAACTATAATCATCGTACCAAAGTCAATAATTATCCAAATAGAAGAGCGTTAAAGATTTTGATTATTTCGGTAAACTAACCCATTTATTGACTTTCTTTGGAATTTGTGTGGTGGCCGACCGCGAAGGAGACTGTGTTGATGTATTTGAGGCTCCTTTAGCGACACTCGTAAAACTGTCATATTGTATGAGACGTGACTGGGTCAGGATTTGCGCTACTTTAATGTAAAAATTCTGTTTTGTTTAGACATAAAAAATAGAATTTGAGGAAGGAATCGTGTTATTAACTACAACACACAAAGATATCCCGTAGATTAAAAAGTGGTAAAGAACGCAAGTAACCTGAGCAAGTTGATCCACCTTTGTATTTTTCACGAAGTTAGTATTATTGTTAGGATTTAGGGGTAGAAGGGGAGGCAGAGATACTTGTGGTTGATCATTTGTCTGATTCAAATTTTGCACATTGTACGGCGAGTAAGAAATTGTTTGCAGCTGTCTTTGTTGCTGAGTAAATGGCGGTGGTGGTGGTGGTGGTTGTTGCTGTGGTTGTTGTTTTGGTGGTGTGACTGAAAAATGGGCGGGAGAAGTCGAGGGAGTTGTGTGCGTGTACATGCGGCATCAAGTTTGCCCTTTGGGGTAAAATCGGGAAATGAAAAGAGACGAATTTAAAAAAAAAGCTTACGGAGCTAGACCTACATTGACACACTCTCGCGAAACTAAATATTAATATAGTTTTATACAGGCAAACGAAATAATATATATAGCGAATAAAATAAAGTATGATACAATAAAAAATATGGGAATGATATGAATGTGAAACAAGAGCAGCAGCAGCAATAACAAAAAAATGTTAACTCGCCACTTTTTAAAATAAAAAAAACTGGAAACGCAGATCGTGTTTGTTGACGTTTTTTTCCTAAGCTAAATAAACTCACCAAGTATGACACGCAGTCTATGTTCGCAGTCTTGTTCTAGAATTTATATAATGACATTGATGGCACAGGCCCACCATTATATATAATTATGATTTGGTGTATCGGGGAGTGATTAATTTATATTAGCATTGACGTTGACATCAGTCTTATATAATACATATAAGTTTTAAATCAAAGAATAACGAATCATATTTCATTGTTGAATTTTCGTCTAGACATTTTAGGAAAAAAAAGCACCGAACAGAACGATAATTCCCCGCAGTTTAAACTTTCAATTGTGCTTGTTATTGTGTTATTTTTTTTACGGAGCTTAAATAGATTATTGACGCATAACTTAGAATCATGAGATTTTATATCCGTTGGGTCATCTGATTTTTTTTTTGGAACAAAAAGAGTAATATAATTATAAATGTGTATATTATATATTATAAACTCCGGCCGGATTATGTATATTATATTACATATTGGAAGCATAACTAAAAGACCTAGTAATAGCATTTATCCCTTGTCGTTGTGGTCATCAATCATTTTTCTTTTTAAAAAAAAAAAAAACAAATAAATAAATAATTGACTATCCATCCGTGTGACAGTTTCCCCTTATATCGAAAACCAAACATAAATGGGAATTGTCATGATTACGAACATTTTCCTTATTATGATATAATCTCACCAACACAAGTAGCTATTCACACAATAAAGAAAAAAGAAATGGAATCGAGTGAGATCAACGCAGACTCTTGTCTTTATCAAATTATATTTGTGCTTGTTGTTCTAACATTTCCGCTACGACTGCTTTATCGAAATCCTGAAATTGATATTGATTACATCAGTATTTAAATAAAAAGATGATTAGATTTTTTTTTGATCATTTTAGGAATTCTTACTGGAGGATTGTCTAAATAAAGATGATGTCCAGCCCTTGGAATCCGTATTACTTTTGTTGGCACGCTCATAGTGGTTGCTGCTTCTTCTGCGGCGCGATAATCCATCCAGTCAATGTCTCCATCTGTTCATGCGAATTCAGAATAAGCATTAAAATTCAAATTGAATATGAATTTATAATAAATAAATACATACATAAAAATGTGGTTGGCATTTGTAATTTATTCAATCGATGAATTAATGGTTTTCGCGCGTATGCACCAGGTGCCAAGATTTTTGAGAGTGCAAATTCGCCACTCCCGGGTGCTAAAGAAATATGATAAATATAATCATGCAAGTCAATACGATCTTGCTCCTCTAGGTACGCGAATCTTCGTGATGTGTAACGTGAAACAAGTGATGGTCCAAATGGACCCGTCCATCGGAGAACCAACTGAGGCGTTATATTAGCATTCCATAATCTCACGATCCAACCAGGAATCCGACGACCGTTGGCAGCTTTCATTTCCGAATTCTTGTTACCCTCGTGAGGATTTACCGGAATTCCGACAGGCGACACCAGAATTAAACGTTCGACACGTTCCGGATATTTCAACGCGTAGACAGCCGCCAAATATCCGCCAAGACTATGACCTAGTAATGTCATTTTTTCAATTTTATGAATCTCTCGCCATTTCTCCAACGAGTCAACGAAAAAGTTTTCCGCCTGTTCAACAGATTCTTCCAATGAATCAGCAATGATATTGAATTTCGGTCGAGAACTTCGGCCCATTCCCAACCAATCGATACTATAAATTCTCCATCCAGGTACTTGACTAAGCCCATGATAATTTCTATAAAAGAATCCTAGTCCGGCACCAAATCCATGACATATTACAAGATGTTTAAGATTTTTCGAGGATTGATTGTCTTCACTTATAGTAGCGGTGTGTGATTTAACCTCCAAATCGGTTTGTGGCACACTAGTGAATCCAAGAGCTTCATCCACGATTTCAGACTTTGATGACGAGCAACTGGAACTGTCATTATCTTTGGCGAGTTTGGCACCCAAAGAACCATTTTCAATGACAAAATCATTGCCCATCTGATCGATAACAAGCGTATTAATTTTACGTTTACCATCACCATCTAAATCAACTTGACCTACACGAGCAATTGTCTTTGATTGTTCAGGCGATGCAACGGTGCGTCCTTCTATTGAGAAAAACTGAAGCCTTGACAAGAGACGAGCCTCTGCCATTTCCAACGTTTTTTCATTATGCGAAAACCAATGTCGTAATGAGGCGAATAGTAAGTTTGGAGAAGGTGCTGGAGGAATCTGAAATGGCGCAGTTGCTGGTTGTGCAAATATGGAAGTATTTGTGTTATTATCTAATGTAGTGGTAGTTGCCATGTTTGATATACTCAAAGGTGAAAATACGTCAAGGTTTGAACAGTCGTTTTTTTACAGTGTTAATAAAACTTTTGATCGAAGATATTTATGTATGCGGAATGATGATAAAAAACTGGACTTTTTAATGAAATAGCTTATTTGAAATATGATAAAAAGACTGACGAAATATTTATACAAACTTTTTGCGCCGCGTAATGTACCAAAATACGTATATCATCGATATAGTTTTTATTGGATCGAGAAAACTGAAAATCACGAATGTCATTCTTTACCATATTAAGAAATCGTCATCGTTTCAAAAAAAAGTTCGTATGAAATTAATACAATGACCGAATCAGGCATTTCTTGCCGCATATTTTTATATGATAAAGCAGATCTCTTCGTACAAATTTAGACACAGCATTTATTTACATTTCACATATATTCATACCACCAAAATTGCATAACGATAATAATCTCGGTTCTTAAAAATTTTACTTATACAAAAATGTCTAATAATGATGATAAGAAAACTTCTGATAACGCCACAACCGTAACTCAAAACATCAAAGTTCGGGTAAAAATTTTCGGTTCAAGTGTCTCCGGTAACATCTTTGTAAGCAAGCTCGATACTCGACAGTCAATTTTCTTTCATTTTTGATATTTAACTAAACGACATTTTTAAACACCGATAGACCAAGAAAAATCAACAATGGGTGGAAAATGCGCTCACCATAAACAAGATTCCTTTCGAGTTTGTTGATGTAGCAGCTGATGAGGAACAATTGAAGTTTATGAAACGCCGGAACCGTGGAGCGCAGGGATTACCCCAGATTTTTGTTGATAATGAATTTGTAGGGGTATGTGATTTAGTTCCTCAACTTTTTAATCAACTTATGTATTTCTAACTTAAATGATTTATTATTTTATAGCTTTTTCCTGCTTTCGAGGAAGCAGTAGAATCAAGACAATTAAAGAAATGGCTAGGTCTAGAAGATTAAATATTAATTTATTGATCTATTTTATTTATTTAAATTAATTTAAGTAGCCATGATTTTTATTCCATAGAGCGCTGTAAATTAATAATATCTGCCTTTAAGTATATAATTATCATCATCATCCTCTTTTTCTAGACTAGGCCCAAAACTTGGTGGTGGTGGTGTGTATTTTGTTAGATCCAATGCGACACGTCCTCCTGGTATAAGTGCTTGGAGTTCCTCTTTATTGGGAACATTTTCAAAAGAAATCTAGTTGCAGAATATGGTATTATCAGTCTTATTGTAATAAATAAAGACATGGTGGAATAATAGAAGTACTTACTGTCTCATTAGTATTCACGTAATTAGCGTATAATGCAACCACTTCGGTATATTCTTGGGAGGCGTGAGAAGCAATAATAGTCGACTTGGATTTCGAAAGTTGATGAATTGCTTCTTTTGCTTCTGTTATAAATCCCACTGCTTTACCCATTTGTCTATTTTAAAAATGTAATCCGTATGTCACTTCATTAATTGAATTATAGGGAATCCTGCACAAGATAAACTTACTGATGCTCATACGCGTCTTTGGCCAAAAATTTCTTGCCTAGCGCCTATATTAAAATAATGGTAAGTGAAAAATCGTTTGAGCAGTAACACGAACAAAGAATTTTCAGATCTCACCTGATGAAATAATGCCCCATATGAAACATATTTTCGAAAGTCGGCACATACTTTTTGCGGATCTTTCAAGCTTTTAATAAGCCCATTCGCCTTCTCATAATGTCCAGCTACGCCAATAGCAAGTTTCGCTAAGAGGGAAGACGAAGTTCGTGACATGAGTGCTTTACGAATTGCAATAGACGAAGCATCAGCAAGTGCAATTCTGAAAATATTTATTTAATCTTTTAATCGACTTTTGGCATTATATTATAAAAAATTAAAAAGCGTGTTCTTACTTTGATATCGAAGTAATCATTTCCATCAGTACATCCGGTGGCCTCGAAGCAGGCGGATTATTCCAGCGTGGACACACTTGCTCTGCAATATATGCAAATATTCCAGCCGCCTTACAAAAAAAATCAGCCGCCTACATTACAAACAACAGAATCTATCATTGATAATGACTACATGAGATTTCCGTATCAAGAAAAATTTCTATTTTACTTGTTTCAATTTCGTATCGATCTCCTCTTGTCGTTGAATAATACTAGACGCCCAATTTGAACACGCGTACCCATATGTTAATAGAGTGAAAATCAATTCATAGTATATATCACGACAGACGACTCGCGGTTTCTTTTTTAGCACAGAATCACTTAATGAACAGCGCCATGATGTCTCTTATTTATAATACAAATGCAAAAAAAATTCAATAACAATGGCAAGATACTAATACCGAAGAATAAAATTCGAAAAAAGCTTAAATACCAAATTCTTTCTTCAATTTCAGTTGACCGCCTTCTATACAATCAACAATTGCGAGTAAATAAGGTAAATAGTCATCGACAGTCTAAGAAAGTACAAACTTAGAGAAATTTCACCGGCTCGCAAACATGGTAGAGCCTGAAGAAAATATACCAGATTATGCTTACCTTCATAATGTTGGTGTAATCTTTAGGGCCTTCCGTTCTTGCAGCCCCTTTGAGAACAGCACGTACCCGTCCACGCAAAGCCGTAGCCTCAGATATATCATTTAGGTATTTGTTATCTGTGTCAAGTAAGTAATCGGCAAAGGAAATGGAGCCAGTTGTAGGTAGTGGATAAATGAAGCTCATAACGAGTATTTTACTGAATTAGTAATTAGATGATTTACATTACAATGCAAAACACAAAAGCGCGCAGTATTAAATTTATAAACAAATATAAATCAAGTTTCTATTTTCTTTAGTTTCTTTGCATTTTTTGGTGAAGAAGTTGGTGTATCAATTACAGTATTAGAAGTCGGATTTTCTATCAACTTCCGTTTTTTACTATTACTTATTGACTTTTCACTAGTCCCATTTGGGGTTATTTGTGGTGATAATGTTCTTGATTTGCTTAAAGGTGATGGTGATAATGCTGGCGTTTCTAGCGACGACGACGACGAAGACGTCATTGACGCAACTTCTATAGAGGACAACGACGAAGTCGTGTCCTTATTGCTGTCGCTGGATAGAGTCGTCTCTAATGTTGTTGATCCGTCTTGGATTCGTGAAGAAAAGAATTCAGTCAAATAATCAAAATTTTTGTCGTAGTAATTTTCTTTGTAAGAGTAATTTTGAGAGTCTTGTTGCTGTTGTTCGAATAGGAGAGTGGTAGGATTAGCATATGCACGTTGTGCATCTACCACTTTAGCCTAAAAAATAATATTCGAAAGCGAAGATACGTTAGATAAGAAATAAAATTACAGTCACACTCGCATATAGTGTGTGATGGTGTGTGGATGCCTGAATACCTTTTCAGATAATTCGACATTAACATCTATCGTTTCCTTTTCCGTTTCTTTATCATCCATCTCTGACTTTTCCTTTTCTTTATCATCCATCTCTGACTTTTCCTTATCTTTATCATCCATCTCTTCCTTCTCCTCATCATTCTTTTTTTCAGATGCCACCAACAGACCCTCCATAAACTCATCAAACAACAAATTAACAGGCGGTATAAGATGCGAAGGTGCATCGAACGCAACGAATGTGTTCTTTTGGTATAATTTAGTCGGAATGTGAGAATCATCATTCATATTTTGATTGGAAGAGGAATTGCCGAATATATCAGAGAAATAAGATCTGCAATCGCTCGTATCAGATAGTAATAAATTACCATTCTATAATTTGAAAAAATTTCCAATAAATAAAAAATCTAATCACTCTCAATAAAACACGCATAAACTTACCAAACAATCATTATTATTGTTGTCAATTAGTACGCGCTGTCCCAAAACACGTAGCCTACAATCTTTATCCATATACACAATACTTGACTCCTTTTCTATATGATTATCGATGTTTTTTGGTAAATAAGTGAGTCCTATTATGCGTCCCACGATTATGCGAATTGAATGCGGAATTGGTGTTTGCGGATCAAAAACAAGAATGCAAGTATCTATATATAGAAAATTATTTTGGATTTATTTTTTCTGTGTTAGATTAGAGCGTAACTTTTAATATCGACATCAAAAACGTTAAATTTTCTTACTATCGTCGCAAGTAGCCGCGACAACAAAGTTTGATGAATTCTTATCGGCAGACATATACTTTACATGAATCCTATATTGCCATTTTACTGTAACAAAAGAATCAAAAGTAAAATGTCAGTATCAATAAAAAAATATACTTTATCCAAATTTAACGAGACAATGTTTTACTTGAAAACGTCGTTAGATCCCACAAATACAGATAATCCTTGGTAGTCGACACTAAATATGGTAATGACTGGGACATGAACATCAAATTTTCGATATTCATAGTCATTGGAACATGACTCAATACACCATGAAATTCATTCAATATAGGATTCCATAATGTGATGAATGGGCCAAATGCAATTGCTAATACGGTTCCGTCTTCCGAGAATACAGCTTTACGAGGAGTTTCTTCGCGGTATGAACCGATTGATGTGCATACCCATTTATTTGCTGCTGTTAACGTAATTGATAATAAAAATACTAGTTATAAAATATTTTTAATGAAAGACATGATAAACTTAAAAAAACTCAAACTTACACCGTTTAGGTATGCCTGCGTTTTTATTCTTAGCATTTTTTTTATTTTTATTATCACCATTCTTATTATTGGTATTAGCAGGTTCAACAGAATTCTGTTTCAATTCCCAAATTTTGAAATCTTTGTCCAATCCGGTAGTAACAACCATCGGAGGTAAATCATTACCATTCTCGTCATTAGTATCATTATTTTTCTTCTTCGACGTAGGACGGAATGCAACGGACGTTATGAAAGATTTCTTATGAGGATGTTCAACAATAGTGTTTAACACAAAACTGTTTGTTTGATGAGAGAATTCCCAGAATTTTAGATAAATTTCTGGCGTTGTTTTTTTATCGTCTCGCGAGTCCACCTAAGTATTATTTATCATATTTATAGAAAGTGAATAATAGACACACATAATATTAACTATAAATAGATAAACTAAATGTACCGTAACCATCCAATCGCCATCCTCAGAAAAAGTCACAAAGTCAACATTCGGCATCACAATTTCAGTCTTATCGGTTCTTGAGACGAACGTTTTTAATGTAACTTCGTGTTCTATTATATGTCGACCGTTATGCGCGTCATACCATTGAAGATTGCCCGGGGATGCGGGTAATACTATATGATAATTTCTAGGTTCAACTACTAAGCCGGTAGTAAGTGGGTTCTTTGAAATATTTTTTGGAACTATTATTATATATTGTGTATATCAATCAATTATATAAGGCAAATCCTCAATAACAAGGTTTAATATAACATCCTATCAAAACATGAACCACACATACCATACTTTAACCCATGAATCACCTGCCTTAACTCATAATTCATTGCCGACAACACTTTGATCGTGTTATCCGTCATTCCAACAGCATAGAGAGTTTGATTGGGGCTAATGGTAACAAAAGTGATTTCTGACCCAAGTCGTGGTACATATTTTCGTTGGCCTGTTTCTACTTGCCAGATTACTAGGACTGATTCTTCACCGCCTGAGAGTAAATAAACACCTGGAATATAAAAAGATGATTATGTTCGTTTTTTTATATAGTGGATAACATATCAAATTAATAATTAATCATAAAGATGATTAGTTCTTACCATCGTTTGAAAATGCCATACAATTTACGGCATGAGCATGCCAATGCCACACAGATTTAGTAAACTTTGTTCTCCCTTTTTTCAAGCAATATCTAAAAAGATAACATAACAAATAATAATGGAAAAATCAATTCTTACGACCTAATTAAGATATATGGAATATAGAAAGTAAACCATAAAAGCAACTCGAATACCCTTACGAGAGAGTGATCTTGCCTAATTCATCCCCAATAGCCACGCAAGGGCGTGACGAGTTGATTGCGATAGAGGTAATTCTTTTTGGGTGAACATACCTATAAAAATATCAAAATACTTGCATATATCATAAATTACATTAATATTGATATTTTTACGAGCTATTAATGAATTTACCTTGGCCATTCGACTTGACGCCGCTCTTTTCTCGAATATCCCAAATTAATAACTTGATAGCTATACTCAAAAACAGCAACCAAATGTTTTCCATCGACACCAATATCAAAAGTGGAAATTTGATACGATGAGGAAAGAATCTTGGTCAATTCGAATTGTCCTTCTTCATTATTTAATCGGTGTATGCGTAATAAATGATTACTTTTATCTTCTTGCGAATCGTCCTCATCATTTTCCACTAAGCAATAATAATCACAGTTGTTATTAGGAACTTCTTTTGATCATTAACAAAAAAATAAAGAAATTTCAATTACAATCATCAAATAGGTTGGGGTCCAACGAAGACAAATCAGAAGAACTTATTTGCGTGGATACATAAATGTCTTTGGGGTGTTTAGGATCCATAATCATGCGATATATGGGAGCTTTTAGATCCAAAGTCTAATGAGCATAATAGCAATCATTAACTCATTAGTGGTAATTTAGTTCGAATGCTCATTTGATGATAAAATACCTCCAACAATACTGCTTTTTCAAAATTCCATATTTTAATTGTCCCGTCCAGCGATGAAGAATATACCTTTTAAATAAATAAAAACAAATCAATATAAAAAATATAAAGATCAAATAAAAAACAAAAAAAAATTCAAAAGGCTAAAATGATTTCCACATACCAACGACGGATCATTCGCGTCAATAGCAAGGGAGGTAATTTCTTTTGTATGTCCACCATATTCTGGCGCCACAGATAGCGTTTTTACACAATCACCCGTTGTCAAATTATATACTTTGATTGTATTTTCATTGGAACAGATCAAATATCTATCAAAAAACTCACAATTGATTAGTTTTCTATAATCGATATCATATTTATTTCATCAATCATATATAAAAAATAATACTTTGAATTCTTTGAGTAAATACTTGGGTATTTACACAAGTATCCACCACATAGCCTATTCAAACTATATAAAAACTTTTTATCATCATCAATTATTTTGCTTTTTCCATTTGGTTTAAAATTTGATAGTTTACTTGTAGAAGACATTTTTTTACAAAATACCTCGATGCGAGGGTGGGAAAAATTTTTAAAACTAATCACGTGATTTTTTTACAAAATGGATTGACAGAGTACCAGTTATCATAATTGGTTAATTTTTTTTATGTTACACTGGTAGTGGACCTCAAAATTAGGAAAGTTGAACGAAAATCAGTAAAAATTATCTTGTATTTCTTTATAATTCTATCTTTACTTGATTAACTTTTAACATTAAATATTTCTTTATAATGAAATTTTTTAGCGATTTGATATTTTTAGAGTCAGAATAAGAGATTTATGCATTTTTTTTCTCGTAATATCAAATTTATTCTGCTTTTAAGATAGAAACTATTTAAGTAATTTAATGAAATTATAATAAATTTATTAGTAAAATCATGAAAAAAATACTTGAAAAACTTCATAATTATATAATTTTATGATTTACTTGATAAATTCCTATTGAAATAACAGTTTTTGATTATCAAGTTAAATAATCAATTAAAGTTGAAAAATAAAAGATTATTTATAATTTATATAATTATTAGAAATTAAAATAGAAATTAAAAAAATTATTGAAAATTATATTTATCTTTTTATAATAATTACTTTATAATTTTTCAAAATCAAGAAATAATAAATAAATATTAATAAATAATAAAGAGATTAAATTGTAAATAATATTTAAAAATAAGATAAAATTAATTTGATTAAAAAAAATAATTTTATATAATAACTAAAAAATTTTGTCATAACTTGTGAAAAATAATATAAATAAAAGAATATAAATAATAATCTTCTAATTAAAGAAATTCACATAATATTAATTTTGAAAAAATAATGAATTCTAATTCTAAAATTTTCAAATTGAAAGAATAAAAATAATATATTATTTATAATTTATTTTTATTAAAATTTTATATAAAATAAAAATATTTTAGTAATAAAAAAAAGATTATTTAAAATAAAAGTTGAATAATTTTAATTTATAAATACTTATAATTTATTATTTGAATAATTTTTAAATTTAAAATTAAAAATACAAAATAAAATAATATATTTTTATATAAATTTAAAAAAATATAAAATATAAATAAATTAATAATTTACAATAGCTATCAAAAGTAATATAACACTTAAATTTTTTACTAATTATAATTAGTAATAGTAATAGTAAAAAAAAAGAATAGAAAATTCTGATTATGTATAGATTATAGAAAACTAAATGAAGTTATCAAAAAAAATCAATACTTCTTTCATGAATTAATAAACTCTTAGATTCCTTTAAAAATACCAAATATTTTACTATTATGAATCTTATTAGTGGATTTTGACAAGTAGAAATATATCTAAAAGACTAAAAAAAGATTGTATTTATTACTAATAAAGATTTATTTTACTTTAATATAATACTATTTGGATTTATAAATACTCTTATCATCTTTCAAAGACTTATAAATAAAATCTTCAAGAAATATATTAGAAAATTCATAGTTATATATCTAGATAATATAATAATATATTTCAAAATTTGAAAAAAACATGTAGTCTATATACTGTTACTATTTTAAGATTATATGTATATAATTATTTTAAAATAATAATAGTAACTATATTCATAGCAGTTATTAACTTTTATAACTTTAAGAGATTATATAATTAATCATCTTCTCAATAAGATAATATAGGCAAGATTTACTTTTGATAAAAATATAATTATCTTCTCAATAAGATAATTTATACGTGTTTTACTTATAATAAAAATATGATTATCTTCTTAATAAGATAATATACGTGAATT